TTCCCACAATTCCCGGCACAGGAACCCGGCACAGTATGCACTGTGAGCCTGACACAGAAGCTGGCAGCGGTGGCAGACAACTGACTGCTATTCAATCTATAACAGTGAAAAAAGTTTTTTGTTTTTAAATCCAAGCTATTGTGACACCAGATGTAAGTGGTGGCACTGACTGGGGAAATGGGCACGGTATGCACTGTGAGCCTGACACAGAAGCTGGCAGCAGTGGCAGACAACTAAGTGCAATTACATTACATAGAAAAAAAAAAATTAAAAAAGCATACCCTTATCCCTAACCTAGCTATGCTTTTCCCTATCTTATGAACAGCAGCTACACTTTCCCTCCTCTTACTAAGCATGCAGCTTGAGAATGAATCTAAAATGGATGCCTTCCAGGAGGTGGGAGGGTCTGCTAGGGAGGGTGTGCTGCTAATTGGCTGGAATGTGTCTGCTGACTGTGAGGTACAGGGTCCGCGCATATGTTCGCCCGCCGTGGCGAACGCCATCATGCTATGTTCGCCGGGAACCGTTCGCCAGCGAACCGTTCAGTACATCACTAATTATGATATGATAGATCATATATAAGTCGGGTTTGGATAAATAAGGTGGGTAATGGAATAGGATATAGCTATCTGGCGTATGTGGCAATTGTACTCCTGTACATGTTATTACAGTTTCTGCTACTTGCAGCCAGAAAGTGTGTTATTATGCCTACTTCTGTGTTGCACCTCCAACATTTGTTTGATTTGCTTGGGCTTATGTGGGCTAGGCGGGTAGGGACTAGGTACCATCTGTACATTATCTTTTTTGATAGTTCTCTGTGTGATGCACACAGAGTTAGCTTCTGGTGTTCTGTAAAAATTATTTCCCATGTGTCCTCTGAGAGTGTTTTCTTGAGTTCCTTTTCCCAGGCTTTAACAAATGTGTACTCTTTTATCTTGGCCTTTTTATGCATGGATCGATATATGGTAGATAGCACTCTCCTTGGTCTTTCCCATATCTTGTAATTAAAGTCTTCTATTATGAGTGAGAAAGCCTGAATGGGTGTTGCCCTGGATAAAGGTGCTGTAGAAGTCAGATTTTGTTTGAATTGATCCCAGACTTTTAGAGTGAGGGATGTGGTTGGCAACCAGTCTTGGTTTGGAGGTCGCGGTAGCCAGGCTACATGGTGGCGTTCTATGCCTTTGGTCCATTGTTTTTCAATGGTGCTCCACTGTAGGTTGTGTTGGGCTGTTTGTTTGTGTACAATATTATTCATTATCGCTGCATGGGAATACGCTTTGAGATTAGGCAAGCTCATGCCTCCTTCTGATAAAGGACAGTGTAGAGTGTGTAGAGCAACTTTTGCTCTTTTCCCCATCCAAATGAATTTGGAGATGTTGTTGTGCAGTTTTGTGAAATAAGAGTTAGGTATGTGGATGGGCAATGATCTGAAAAGGTACTGTATTTTATGTAATATGACCATTTTAGTCGCTGCTATGCGTCCCGACCATGAAACATAAAGTTTCTTCCAATCTTGCATCAGGGATTGGAGTTCTATCTGGGTTTTACCGTAATTGCCTTGAAATAGTTTATCTATATGTTTTGTGAAGGCAATACCTAGAAACATATGGTGGTATTTCCTCCATTTGAAATTGTATTTCGATTGTAAGATTGTAAGTTGTGCTTGTGGAATGTGTATTGCCATTGCTTGTGTCTTGGATATGTTCAACTTGTAGTAAGATAGTTTGCTATAAGTTGTCAGGATGGAGTGAAAGTGCGGTAGTAATTTGGGTTGTGTAGTGATAATAAGACAACGTCCGCAAAGGGTGTCAGTTTATGTTCTCGGTTTTGTATTTTTATCCCTTCTATTTGTGGGTTATTCCTAATGAGGGTTGTGAGGAGCTCAAGAGCAAGACCATATAACAGAGGTGATAAGGGGCACCCCTGGCACATGCCATTGGTAATGGGAAATGCATCAGAGGTAAATCCTGCATAAGTGATTTTTGCTGTGGGTGAGCTATACAGAGTTTAAATTAGATGAATGAATTCAGTGGGGAAATCAAATTTATGTAAGACAGCATTTAGAAATTGCCAATGAAGGTGGTCAAAGGCCCTCTCCGCAACTAATGAAAAGGCCATGATCGTTTCCTCTATGTATACTGTGCATTAGATTTAATACCTTTCGTGTTCCATCTGTTCCTTGCCTACTTTTGATGAATCCTACTTGATATTCATGCACTATTGTGGGTAATAAGGGAGCTGGTCTGTTGGAGTATAATTTTTGCTACTAATTTCATATCTGTGTTCAGCAGAGATATTGGGCGTAAGTTTTGACCTTTATTTGGTATTTTCCCTGGTTTTGGATGTGTGATTATGTGTGCCAGTTGCATTTCTGCTGGTGTTGGTTTTGCTTGTATCATTGTCGTGAATGTGGTTTTCAGGTGAGGTGTATGTGTGAGAATCTCTTATAGTATAGGTTGGTAAAGCTGTCAGGCCCTGGGGCTTTCCCTATTGGGAGATGTTTGATAGGATCCAGTATTTCTTGTTCTGTTATTGATTGGCGTAGAATAGTTTTTTGTGGAAGCCTGATATTCTCTAAAAAGCCTTGGATTGTTAAATTGTGGAAGCCTGATATCCTCTAAAAAGGCTTGGATTGTCAAATTGTGGAAGCCTGATATCCTCTAAAAAGGCTTGGATTGTCAAATTGTGGAAGCCTGATATCCTCTAAAAAGGCTTGGATTACTTGAGTGGTGGGCTGGTACGTCATTGGTTCTGTCTTTAAATTGTACAGTTTGCCGTAAACATTTGCTAGCTCATTATTTATGTCTTGCGGCTTTAATATTTTTATATTATTGTCTGTCAGAATGTAGGGGATATTGGTTTTCATTTGTTGTTTGTGCAACTGTGACACCAGTAGTTTACTTGCTTTACTTCCTTGGGAATATTGCCTCAATTCAAATTTTTGGAGCATTAAGGCTACTTTTTTCAAGTTGCTTTCGTTTATGCTTTTGGTGTTAGACTTTATGTCTAATAATGTTGCTTCCGCCTGATGCTGGTGATATTGGTGTGTTTTGTCACGCAGCTCTTTCAACAAGGGCATACGTTTTGATTGAGTTTTTGAGGGGTTTTTTTTTTATGTGCCGGTTGGCTTATGAGTACACCTCTGATGACTGTCTTGTGTGCCTCACACAGAGTCATTGGTGATATATCTGGTATTGCTTTATTGGTAAAATATATGAGTCAATTCTTTTTCGAGTTGTGATGCCAAGGTCCTGTTGTGCAGTTGATTGTCATTCAACCTCCATGTTCCCTTGCCTCTAAAGGGATATTCATCTGCAATTGTTAATATAACTGGGGCATGGTCTGATCATGTTATATTGCCAATTGTACATTGAGCACTCTCAGGAGTTCAGGAGCGGTGAATCATGATAGAGACACCTCTTGATTTTTTGGCATACATAGAGTGGTATTGGTTTGGAAAGCTTTTCATTCCGAAGGTAGGAGCTTTTGTCTTTTTAAAGTGTGTCTCCTGGAGACAAAGAATTTCTGCTCCCACTCTTCCTGCTTCTAAGAGTAGGGTATTTTGTTTTTGGGGGGTATTTAGGCCCTTAACATTGTGTGAGTAGATTTTCATAATTTCATATGCAATTGTTTATTTGCTCCTGCTTCCTGATGGGCTGCAATTTGGGTGTATGCCTGTCCTGTGTTGTGAGGAATGGTGTATGTCTCGTTACCTAGTCTTATCTCTGTGAGGTGGATGTGAACACCTCCCGAAAAACTGAGGAAGTTATTATTGAAATCCATGTATAACTCTTCATGAAGGAGTAAGCTCGGCTCCAACTGAATCTGCGTGAGTGATGCAGAGTTCTGTATGTCATTCGGGGCGGAAAAGTGTTTACAGGGATTGGCTCTTAGGCATGGAAGGGCGTTTAGGAGTAAAAGGAACAAAAGGTAGATCTTGTATAAGGTCTGAACTAAACCTATATAAATATGTTTGCCCTGATGTTGGGCTTGGTACTTTTGGTAGGTACCATGGGGGTTGTGAGCATCATATTGGAAAGTCGCTCACTTATGGTCTGATAGGCCTTCCCTTCCTATTGTGAGATTATTAGGGAGGAACTCATCGGTTGGATTATGTTTTAAACAACAGTCTAACAGAGCTTCCTGTACCCCAGTTGGGTACCTCCGCTGACAGATGCTCCTAGTGCTTACTGAGGGCTCCAGGCACTTCTCCAGACACCATAAGTACTGCAGACCCCATCAACCGCCGCAGCTTGGTTGGGGTCTCGCCATCTCCTACCCACCCTGGACCTACGACAAGGCTCCAGGTTCCAGTGGGAGAACCTTTCTTTCTCCAGAGAGTGAAGCAGGAACAGCTCTTACAAGAGCTAGTGATTATCCAAGGGAGTATAGTGATTATAGCAATCCCTTGTAGCAGTTTCCCCCAATAAGAGACAAGACTCTAGATTGAGGGTAAAATAACAACTGAAGATTTATTGTGGCACATTGCCTTTTATGCAGTTTTCCCCACAAGGTTACCACTCAGGCAGGGGCGTACCTAGAGCATTTTGGCGCCGGAGGATCGTTTTGTTCTTTTATTTTACAATTTGTAAACTTTGCAAAACGCTGTCAGCCCTCCCTGCAAAACCCTTGGCCTGCCCTGCTCACCACAAAACCTCTGTCACGCACTTCTACAAATCCTGTACTGCCCCATCCTACCGAAAGCCCCATGGCCCCCCTTCCACCGTCCCCTGTATCCCCCCCTTGTAGAACTCCTGTCCCAATACAAAACCCCCGCCCCCTTCTACAAAATCCCTGCAGCCCCACACACACATTTACAGGCAGACAGTCACACACTCAGTTACAGGCAGACAGTCACATTCAGTCACAGGCAGACGGTCACACATACACATTTCCTCCGTGCGGCCAGTTTATCAGCTGTTTGCTTG